TAATGCTCAACATGCTACACGGATTCTAGCCCATGTTTATATACACTGTTGCCACTTCATGTTATGTTGCAGTCATTCTTATTTAGATTGGTATCTTACCATTGTACACTTATATCCTTAGAACATATATTCTAGTGGTTCAGACACACTCATATTAGATATTTTTGTCCCAGCTACCATTATTTGGTTTTATCCCCTTTTTGTGTTTACTATGTTTTCCCGTATTGTAGTTGTGTTTTTGTTGATTTACTAGCGTCGTCTTCACTTTTAACGTATATCCAAAAAACAATGTGTTTTTAAACTTAAACTTTTTCCTGACATTACCCTGAGGACAGAAAACACCCTTTCTCCCTTTTTCTATTACAATTACTGGTAGGGTTATCCCCTAGTTTCCTGTCCAGGATCTTCCCACTACGTATTCTAGCTTCCACCTCATCTCTGAATTATATTGGACAATAAAAGTATATAGACAGCCATATAGTATGTGTATATAGAGATCAATATATAGTGTGTGTGTGTGTGTGTGTGTATAAACAGTCATATAGTGTGTTGTGTATATACAGCTATATAGTGTTTGTGTGTGTGTGTGTATAAACAACCATATAGTGTGTGTGTATATACAGGCATATAGTGTGTGTGTGTGTAAACAGCCATATAGTGTGTGTGTGTATATACAGCCATATAGTGTGTGTGCGTGCATTTTGTATAGACAGCCATAATGTGTGTGTGTGTGTGTGTGTGTATGTAGCCAGGCAATTCCTTCAAAGCAGAGAAGCATCCATGAGTCAGTCAGGGGACATGGTCTTTTAGGGGGCGTGGCCTTCAGGGGGCGTGTCAGATATCAAGCTGATGTCGGAGAGGAGCTGGAAGGCTCCATTATCTGGAGATCTGGAGGGGTGTGCAATAGTTACTGAACTGCTTTTCATGCTGGCTTTTGCTTTCTCGGAGAGAGACTCCTCATCCTGCTGCAGTTTCTTTCTGTATCACCTTCTTCCCCAATTCAAGCTTTTATTGGGGACAAATAAAAAGGTCACCAGACTGAGGATATCGGCTTGTCATCCCCCGTTCCGTTTTTGCCGTCCCCTAGAAAGTGCCGCTTCCAGGCAAGTGCCTTGTTTGCCTTGCTGAAACTACATCACAGCATGATGAAACACCATTCTTCTGCTGATTATGGGGTGCTATGGGTGCCCTGGTTTGCCGTCCAATGAAAGTGGTCAAACCATTTTCTAACATTTTGACTTTTTACATGGTGTCTGCCTGGCCTTCCTCTCCCTGCAGCCAGAAGCTCTCTTCACTGAGCTAAGCTGGTGGTGCAGGACTTAGCTCATTAGCTGAGAAAGATCAATGAGCTGGCCCTGAATTGAAAGGCTTAGCTCAGAAGAGCTAACGTAAGTTCCTACCAGGACTGTTGGTTCTCTTCTGGTTGCAGATAGGTGCACAGTAGGTCCCAGATAAGAAGTCAAATTATTATCAAATGGTTTGTCTACTTGCACTGGGTGCTGCCTGGGCATGGTGTTTGGAGTGTTACTTTAAAATAGGAGGAGATGGATTGGGACTGCAGAAGTGATGCAGCTGGCAGTTATTATGCTGGGCGTTTTCTAGCCCAGCACTGTAGCAGTGAGTAATCGGGTTTGTAGCTGGCAATCTCAATGTTCTTAAAGCCTGGATTGACCCATTTGCATGTTTCTTGGTGGACTCCTGTATTAGGCCTGACCAGGTTGCCAGACTACGATGATTACGATTGGAGTTTCTCAAAATATTCAAGTGACAATGTTAAGATCCAGAAGTGCTCATGACATCCATAACGTACAATGGTTGCCACTGGTAGAAATGGAGTTGACAGATACAAAGTCCATGTCTCTGAGGCATGCATAGATAACTGTGAAACCATACTTATGGAGGTTATATGCATACATGGCAGACCGGTCTGTCAAATGCATCTATCACATGAGTTTTGAATACAATAGAAAGACATTTGCTTTGCACTTGACTCCCCTCCTTCCCCCCTCCCCCCCCAGGTCAAAGGTTGCAAACCTTCCACCAGAAGTAAATGTACTTGTATAAATATAACTTTAAAACTGTAGTTCCATGGAAATATAAAAAAGTGAAAACAAACTATATTTGATATTTTTTAAACTGAAGCAATAATGCTTTTCATAAACTAACACAGTTCAATTTGCAAAACATGCTTAGGAAGATGTCCAGGAATCTAATATATATAGCATGTGTTTAGACTTTAGGGTGGTAAGTTTTAGACCCAGTAGTTATGACTCAGGCTATTCTTCTTCCAAAATAATGTAAGCAATATATGGTAACTGTAACAATAATTTATCATATAGACAGAGAAAAATGTTTGATCGTAAACTACAACTACAAAATTAATTTCCATCATTCTGCTTTGTGGAAGTTTAAGTAGTTACGTTTTTATAAAAAACATTTTTTTTTAATTGTGCTTACCCAGAATGGTGCACTGCTATTATAGTCAGTACATCAGGAAAATGTTCTTATTGCTAACGATTGATTAAAATCTCAGTAATCAGAGCTTGCCCAGGACATTGTGCAGACTTGGTTAAAAAAGGCAAATCATGGTTCTCAGTTCTCTGCAAACTTAATTGAATTATGTGGATGTGTGAGTTAAAAAGACACTATAATCACAAGCTTAATTAAGCAATTTTAGCGTATGCATCATGCCTCTGAAGTTTCACTGCTCAATTCACTGACATTTAGGAGTTAAATCACTTTTGTTTCTGACCATGCAGCCCTTGCCACACCTCTGTTGCCTATAGTAAATACATAAAGGGAATTATCACCCGAAAGATGCATTTCTCAGGAATGGTGCTGCCATAGAGACCAACATTGATACATAATACAGACTAAGAAACTGCACACATAAAAAACACAGTTTTACATTTTATAAGGCTCCTTAAAATCACCTACCCCAGAAAACAAATATGGGGATTCAGGTCCACCATATGACTATATTGTGCCTGTGAAAGCCTGCATGAAAATAAAAGGTTTGATTTTCAATCGGTTGTTAACTTACTTTAGATGTTTTGTTTTGTTTCATCTCCTGCTCTCTAGATTGCACTGTAACCACATACAGGAGTCTCCTGCAAGATCCAGTAAGCTATTAACAGTGCAAAAGATAAGAAATTCCAAATAACAGGAACAATTCTAAAAGCAGAATTTGCAATAGAAGAAGTGTAAACATTAGTTCTCACTTAACAGGAAGTGTTTAGGAAGGCTGAGCATGCTACTTGCAAGGAGGTGTGACTAGGGCTGCATAAACAAAGTGATTTAACTCCTAAATGGCAGGGGATTGAGCAGTTAAACTGCAGGGCCATAAGCTATACACCAAAACTGCTTCATTAAGCTATAGTTGTTTTTTGGTGACTGTAGTTTACCTGTAAATGTAAAAATGCACTAATTGTAATGCTCACAATAAGATAAGGATCATGATTTACCTTTTTTAAATGATTGAGATAGAAAGGGTTGACCAACCTGTAAGCTCTGCAAATTCAAGTCAGTGATCCAAAGTTGCAAACCATGCTATTCCCACATTTACACCATTTACATTAAGATACACACAAACAATAGAAGGAGGACGTGAAACTTTAGAAAGTACTGAAAAAGTACAAATTCTCATTGACAGTGAAACATACAAATAAGTAGGAATGCACAAGGATGAAATGGTAGTTCTCAGGGTGCAAATAAGTTGAAAAAAATACAACCTTTCAATATGGAAGCGTAGTTAGCAGTATCTACAAAAAATACATAAACCGCAAATAGTGTGATAAAAATATGTATAGAGAGACAGGCAAGGAAATGAGGAAAACTTACAAAATATAAGTGAATATCAGGCCCATCATCCTAATCTGGAGAAAACTTTAGAGCAATATAGAATTAAATCTTCTTTGGCACTAGAGAATAGAAAGAGACCAGATAATAGTGCAGATATCACTTAAAACAGAAAGAATTTATTACAATTGCACTTACAAAGATCCAGATAAAAACAGCATATATCCACTAGCAAGTGGAACAAAGAAATACAGCACTGTAAGTCCCAAAATGACAATCCGACGCGTTTCGTCCACTGGACTTCCTCAGGGATATGATCATATTGCAAATGTAATAAATTCTTTCTGTTTTAAGTGATATCTGCACTATTATCTGGTCTCTTTCTATTCTCAAGTGCCAAAGAAGATTTCATTCTATATTGCTCTGAAGTTTTCTCCAGATTAGGATGATGGGCCTGATATTCACTTACATTTTGTAACTTTTCCTCATTTCCTTGCCTGTCTCTCTATACATATTTTTATCACACTATGTGCGGTTTATGTATTTTTTATAGATACTGCCAACTATGCTTCCATATTGAAAGGTTGAATTTTTTCAACTTATTTGCACCCTAAGAACTACCATTTCATCCTTGCGCATTCCTACTTATCTGTATGTTTCACTGCTTTTGTTTGGTGTTTTAGAGGGCACACTGTTTATTATTATTATTATGATATTTATAGAGCACCGTCAAATTCCGCAGTGCTTTACAATGGGTGGACGAACAGACATTTAGTTGTAACCAGACAAGTTGGACACACAGGAACAGAGGGGTTGAGGGCCCTGCTCAATGAGCTTACATGCTAGAGGGAGTGGGGTAAAATGACACAAAAGGTAAGGATAGTATTAGACTAGTGACAGTTGCAGAAGAGGTATCAGTCGGGAGCTATTAACAGTTTAATTGATACGCTTTTATGAAGAAGTGGGTTTTTAACGATTTTTTGAAGGAGTGGAGACTGGGTGAGCATCTAACGGAGGAGGGAAGCGAGTTCCACAGGAATGGTGCAGCCATCGAGAAGTCTTGAAGGCGAGCATCAGAGGTGGGAGTGCGGACAGAAGATAGACGTAAGTCTTCAGCAGTGTCAGGATTACTGTTTGATCCAGCACGTAGAACTGTACAGCACGGATGACAAATAAGTAACGTATTACCGGTCCTTAGAATGGCCGGATTTAACGTACAAAGAATAGTCAAAAATACTAGCCGAGGTCAGGGAACACAGAAAGGAACACAGCGATGAGGAAAGCCAGGAGTCAGGATACCAGAATATAGAGAAGTCAATAAACAAAGCCAAAGTCAAAAACCAGGTAGAAAACTATAAACAGGAACGCGCTCTCAGACAACCACAAGGGAAACCACGACAGGGCACTGAGCAGGCTGAGAACTGGGCCTAAATACCCCTCCTTTAGTTCTGATAGGCTGTAACCGGCCTTTGACCCCAAAGTCAGTTACCAGGTTTCATTTGCATAATTGCTGCTCAGCATTAACCCTTCTGTGGATTAGGTTGCTGCTCGGCACAACTTTTCCTGTGTGGACAGTAAATGTCATTAATCACTTTTCTCTAAGCGGATGAATACATGACACCAGGTTTCATTAGCACAATTACTGCTCAGCATTAACCCTTCTGTGGATTAGGTTGCTGCTCTGCACAGCTTTTCCTGTGTGGACAGTAAATGTCATTAACCACATTTCTATAAGCGGATGAATATGTGACAAGCAGAGTGTAAGGGCCTAGACAGGAATTAAAACAGACTGGCAGAATATTAACTTTACAGGTACAGTGGTGAACAAACTTGTTTGACATTTTAATAGTAACTGTGACAAAAACTATTACTTCTGTAGAAATGTGCAAGATTATTTTATTGGGCGGATACATTCCAGTAAAAAGGTTTAATAAGGGAAAAAGTCGGAATCACATAAAGATTAGGGAGGAAGAAAGGGAGCCTGTTAGGGTGCAGGGAAAAAGGGGGTCTGTGAGAGTGCAGGGAGAAAGGGGACCCAATTACAAAAACATAAATTAATTAATACAGTTTGGTAATCTCTGGTACTTTATAAGTACAAGTAGGCAGCTAAGACTTTTGTTTTCATTTGTCCACAGCAAGCATACAGGCTCATATTGGTTCATTAAAACAGTAACATACAACTGTTACTAGAGCTGATTCTTACTATCATACCCTTATAAGGATTACTGGTTTTATTGATTCAGTAAGATAACATACCTCCCAAGTGTCCTTATGTAGGAGAGACAGTCCTTATTTGGGCCAAATCCCTCTGTTTCTCTTTTCTATTCTGTCAATCTTTTCTAGATGCTCCCTACTGATACATTGTTCTTGTTCTAAATTACATATTATATGCATAAATTATTTTTAGTAAGTGGACTATACTTTTGTAACTCCTCTGCCCCTTGCCTCACCCCCACCCCTAAATTTAAACTGTCCCTCTTTGTCCATTTGAAATGTTGTGAGGTATCGTACATACATACATCCCTTCTCTATTCTCATGATCTGCTCTTGAAAGATGGAATAAAGGTATAATGTGTGCTTGCATATAAATACCACAAAAATACTGGCAGAAACAGGTTGTTTGTTACAATAAATATTTCTCACAAGTTAAGCCATTCTTTGTCACCCAGTCCTGCTAATAACCCCTTAAATATGGCCTAGTATTTGTTTGGACAAAATGATCATCAAATGTATTTGAAACATGGGGTGCATAGCTTGTGTATCAATTGCCATTCAGGGATACACAAATATAATCAAGAAGCCTTGCATTATTAAATTGATGATTGATTGATTTATGAAATATTTTATCAGGAAGGATATATTGAGATTTCTCTCATTTTCAAGAATGTCCTGGGCCCACTTACACTGCATCGTTACAATAGGGTACAAGATAATATAAAAAAATGCAAATACACAACAGATATATAAATTTAACACAGAATAGGTAAGAAATTTAATCAACCTTGATTACAGATGCATTCTGTTTTGAGATAAGTAGAGAGGGATCTCTTAAAGAACTTTATGCTGGGGAAGATTTGATTGTGCCAGTGAGGTTATTCAATAATTGAGGTGCTCTGTAGGAAAACGAGGATCCTTTTATTTTTGTATTGAGGTACATTATTTAATGCTTTCCTATGGGGATTCTGGCGACGCTGGAGATACTCATGCATAGCGTGAGGACGTCCAGCGTCGTTTAAAACACTTTTTGTGTTTTAAGAACCTGGAAGTCACTCTAGTGGTTGTCTGATAGACAGCCACTAGAGGAGGACTTAACCTGCAAGGTAATTATTGCAGTTTATAAAAACTGCAATAATTACACGTGCAGGATTACGGGTGATGGGAGTTGGCACCCAGACCACTTCAATGAGCTGAAGTGGTCTGGGTGCCTACAGTGTCCCTTTAAATAAAGTGCTGGTACTGGATTGGAGGTTATAGGAGATGGGAACAGCTGGGGAGAGCAATCTACTCAGGGGTAGTGGAGAGTCTGAGCACAGGGCTTAATTTTGTGCATTTTACATTTTAAAAGAAAATGGTAAAATAAAACGGGTTAAACTATATATATTCTCAGATAGTTTTTATCTTTCTAACTTTGCTATACTGTGTCACTCTATATTACTTGATATAAAGAAATTATCATGATCACAGGTATGTTGGGGTTATTCAATAAATGGGGAACCAAATTGTCAACTCCGCTATTTTTACAATTTAGCTATTTTGGCATAGGATTTGCAGTTCCCTTGACAATTAACCAAACTTTCTTGTTTAGAGAATAGTCCCATGACTCTTTTTTTATTCTGCAATATTAATATGTTTTCCATGCTGCTAAGCATTGCTGCTCATTGGAACACATCACTTAAGGTCATGTAATATTGATGGCAAAGGATTGATCTCCAGATGTCACAGATGAGAGAACAAGGCTCTGTGTTCCAAGAACAAATCTATATCACATATTTATTTACCTCCTACTACACTTGAATTAACCGGAGCAAATGTTTTCATTCTTAGTAAAGTATACTTAGTTGCCAAATGCAGTCGTATCTCACACAGGCTATAAATTTCTGAAGCATTACTTCAAGAGCAAATGTGCTGTCATAGATCATGGCAAATGTTATTTACTATAATCAACTACTCTAGCTTGTAAGCTTATAAACAGTGCTTTTAAAACTTATCATATCAGTTTATCTCCATAGGCCAAATTAAAGGACCACTATAGGCACCCAGACCACTTCAGCTTAATGAAGTGGTCTGGGTGCCAGGTCAAGCTAGGTTAACCCAGAAACTGCTTTGTTTATGTTAGGGTTAATCCAGCCTACAGTGGCTGTCTCTTGACAGCCGCTAGAGGCGCTTGCGTGAAAATCACAGTGAGAAGACGCCAGTGTCCATAGGAAAGCATTGTGAATGCTTTCCTATGGACTGGCTGAATGCGCGCGGCTCCTGACGTGTAGTAGGAGGTAAATAAATATGTGATATAGATTTGTTCTTGGAACACAGAGCCTTGTTCTCTCATCTGTGACATCTGGAGATCAATCCTTTGCCATCAATATTACATGACCTTAAGTGATGTGTTCCAATGAGCAGCAATGCTTAGCAGCATGGAAAACATATTAATATTGCAGAATAAAAAAAAAGTCATGGGACTATTCTCTAAACAAGAAAGTTTGGTTAATTGTCAAGGGAACTGCAAATCCTATGCCAAAATAGCTAAATTGGAAAAATAGCAGAGTTGACAATTTGGTTCCCCATTTATTGAATAACCCCAACATACCTGTGATCATGAGAATTGCTTTATATCAAGTAATATAGAGTGACACAGTATAGCAAAGTTAGAAAGATAAAAACTATCTGAGAATATATATAGTTTAACCCATTTTATTTTACCATTTTCTTTTAAAATGTAAAATGCACAAAATTAAGCCCTGTGCTCAGACTCTCCACTACCCCTGAGTAGATTGCTCTCCCCAGCTGTTCCCATCTCCTATAACCTCCAATCCAGTACCAGCACTTTATTTAAAGGGACACTTTATTTAAAGGGACACTGAAAGCTCCAAACACCATATACTCCTATGTGTGTGTAGTATATGATTAGGAAAATAACCAAAAATTCATACATTCTTGCTTAAATATTCCTTTCCTGACCATTTGCCACAGAGACATTACTAATGGGTTACATTCCTTCACTCAACAAGTAGTAATTATCTATGTTTCAAAATTAATTTTTATGAAAGGGACTCTCCAGTGCCAGGAAAACATATTTATTTTTCTGGCACTGCAAGACCCTACAGTGCCCCTCCCCCTACCCACCCACCATCCCAAGTTGCTGAAGGGGTTAAAACCCCTTCAGTGACTTACCGGAGTCCAGCGCCAATGTCCCTCAACGCTGGGTCAATCTCCGCCTACTCTCCACCCCCACCGACATCAGCCAGCAGGGGAGCCCTTATTCAATGCTTTCCTATGGGAATTTTGGCAACGCTGGAGGTCCTCACATAGCGTGAGGACGTCCAGTGTTGTATAACACACTTTTCGTGTTCTAAGAACACTGAAGTCCCTCTAGTGGATGTCTGATAGACAGCCACTAGAGGAGGACTTAACCCTGCAAGGTAAATATTGCAGTTTGTAAAAACTTCAATATTTACACTTGCAGGGTTAAAGGGACTCTCCAGTGCCAGGAAAACAATCTGTTTTCCTGGCACTGCAGGTCCCCTCTCCCTCCCACCACCCATCCCCGGTTGCTGAAGGGGTGAGAACCCCTTCAGTGACTTACCTGAGACCCCCGCCGATGTCCCTCTGCGGTGGTTTCGGGTCGCCACCACTCATCCCCTTCATTACGTCAGCCGGCGGGGGAGACTGATCCCGCCCGCAGGCTGAGGAGACCTAATGCGCATGCCCGGCAATGCCGCGCATTTGCTTTAGAGTTCTCCATAGGAAAACATTGAAAATGCTTTTCAATGCTTTCCTATGGGGAATTGAGCAACGCTGGAGGTCCTCACACAGCGTGTGCTATGAAGCAGGAAGTGCCCTCTAGTGGCTGTCTAGTAGACAGCCTCTAGGGGAGAACTTAGCCCTGCAAGGTACTTATTGCAGTTTAGGAAAACTGCAATAATTACAGTTGCAGGGTTAAAGGTAGTGGGAGTTGGTACCCAGACCACTCCAATGGGCGGACGTGGTCTGGGTGCCTGGAGTGTCCCTTTAAGGTTCAAAAAAGTTCACAAGCCATCACAAATGAGTATGCATCTGTAGATTAGGAAAGAGTTATATATTAATATATAAAAATATACAAATAGTAACATCTCCTAAGCCAAATAATCATTGTAACAACAGAGTACAATAATGCCTTTAACAATAAAGAGAGCATTTTAATTAATTCGGTAGAAGTAACATACATACAA